CAAGAACAAAAGAGAACTTCTCTAAGTGAGATCATAGCCAAAGTTCCAGAAGTCCACCACAGGGACAAAATCCAAAAAGCTGTTGGAGAAAAGGCAATGAATCACATAAAGCTAAACCCATTAGAGTAACAGAAGATTTTTCAACATAAACCTTGAAGGCCAGGAGGGCTTAGAGTGAAATGTTTCAAACCCCAAAAGATAACAGCATCCAACCCTGACTTAGGTATCCTGCAAAACTTTGCTTCAAAACTGATGGTGAAATAAGGATTTTCCATGACAAGGAGAAACTCGAGAAATTCATGACCATCTAACCAGCACTCCAAAAAATTCTCAAGGATGTCTTAGGAAGAGACAATGAAACCAAAAAGAATGAATACACCTGACAGGAAGAGCAGCTAAACAGAAGGAAAAAAATGAGGAAATCAGCAACAGGAAAATAATGCAATGATAAGAATAAGTGGGCACCTTTCAGTAATAACTCTCAATGTGAATACTCTCAATTCCCCAATCAAAAGACATAGACTGGCAAAAATGGATCAAGAAACAAAACCCAACAATATGTAGTGTACTAGAAACACATTTAACTAGAAAAAGAATCTCACAGATTAAATATCAAAGGATGGAAAGCAATATTCTAAGCAATGGGAACCTGGAAAAATTCTAATCTCAGACGAGGTGGATTTCAAGCCCAAATTGATCAGAAGAGACAAAGAAGGTCACTATAAATTGGTTAGGGGGACAATTCAACAAGAAGAGATAACAGTTGTAAACATACATGCACCAAAATTCATCATGCCTAACTTCATAAACACTAGTGAATATGAAAAATCAGATAGACACCAATACAATTGTAATGGGGAACCTCAATACCCCACTGTCACAAATAGACAGGTAAACTAGACAAAAAAGTCAACAAAGAAATATCTCAGTTGAACCAAACCTTTAAACAAATAGGCTTAATAGATATCTACAGAGTGTTCACCCAACAGCAACAGAATACTCATTCTTTTCAGCAGCCCCTGGGACTTTCTCCAAAATAGACCACATGCCAGGTCATAAAGCATGCTTAAGTAAATGCAAAAGAATAAAAATTATTCCATGTATGATATCAGATCACAATGCAATGAAACTAGAAATCGATGGCAAAAGAACTGACAGAAACTATGCAAACACATGGAAACTTAAAAATACCCTCTTGAGTAATCAATAAGTCACAGAATAAATCAAGGAAGAAATTAAACAGTCTTCAAAGAATAATGCTCGTACAACGTACTGGAACCTATGGGACACAATGAAAGCAGTCCTAAGAGGGCAGCTTAAATGCCCTCTTCAGAAAATAGAGTAAGCTCAAATGAAAAACCTAATGATGTACCCCTAAATCCTAGAAAAACAAGAACAATCCAAGCTAGTACAAGGAAGGAAATTATAAAGATTAGAGAAGAAATTAATGAAATTGAGACTAAAAACTATACAAAGAACGAATGAATCAGAGTCGGTTCTTTGAAAGAATAGAAAAAAAAATCAACAAATCCATAGCCAGTCTTACCAAAAAAAGAAAGAAAAGGCCCAAATCCATGCAATTAGAAATGAAAAAGGTGAAATCACAACAAACCCCGCTGGGATCCAGATTAGTAGTAACTACTTCAAGAACTTGTACTCTAATAAAATGGAGAATTCAGAAGAAATGGATAGATTCTTGGACACATATGAACTACCAAAGCTGGACCAAGAAGATACAAAATTCTAAATAATCCAATATCAATCAGTGAAATTGAAGAAGTAAGAAAAAAACTACCAACTAAGAAAGTCTCAGGTCCCAATGGATTCCCTGCTGAATTCTACAAGAACTTTGGAGAATACCTAATGCCAGTGCTCCTCAAACTCTTTACTGAAATCAGAAGAGAAGCAGTACTCCCAAAGTCATTCCTGGAAGCAAGTATTGCCCAATTCAAAAAGCAAAAAATGGTCCAACCAAAAAAGAGAAATATAGGCCAATTTCTTTAATGAATATAGACACAAAAGTCTTCATTAAGATACTGGCAAACAGAATGCAACAAATCATCAAAAAGATAATACATCAGGCTTAAGTAGGATTCATTCCAAGGATGCAGGGATAGTCCGACATATACAAATCAATAGATTGTAATATACCACATACACTGAAGCAAGGACAAAACTTTCATGATCATCTCAATAGACACATAAAAAGCATTTGACAAAATCCAACATCTATTCATGATAAAAACCCCGAAGAAAATGGATATAGAAGGACTATATCTCCATCTGATAAAAAGCCTTCTATAACAAACCAATGGCCAATAACCTATTAAATAGGTCAGAAGCTGCAATCTTTTCCTCTAAAATCAGGAACAAGACAAGAATGTCCACTATCACCACTCCTGTTCAATATAGTTCTCAAAACATTAGCCAGAGCTATCAAGCAAGGGGGAAAAAAGAATATGAATAAGAAAGGAGGAACTTGAATTATTATTATTTGCAAATAACATAATCCTCTATATAGAAGAGTGCAAAAACTACCAAAGGATTCCTAGAATTAAAAACCAAATTCAGTAGCATAGCAGGATACAAAGTTAACACTCAAAAATCAATATTCTTGTACACCAAAAATAAACTCACTGAGAAAGAAATTAGAGAAACATTACCTTTCACAACAAGAAAAATTATATATCTAGGAATTAACCTAACCAAGGAGTGAAAGACATTTACAATGAGAACTATAGTACTCTGGTAAAGGAGAATGAAGAGGATATCAAACGATGAAAAGAAACCCCTGTTCCTGGATAGGCAGAACCAATATAGTCAAAATGGCCATACTTCCAAAAACTGTTACACAGATTTAATGCAATCCCAATCAAAATACCAATAGCATTTGTCAAAGAACTAGAGAAAACAATCCTAAAATTCATATGGAACCAGAAAAGATCTAGAATAGAAAAAGTAATTCTGAGCAACAAGGACAAGGCAGGAGGCATCACAATCCCAGACTTCAAGTCATAATACAAAGCTACAGTGATAAAAACAGCATGGCATTGGCAAAAAAACCCCCAGACATGTGGATCAACTGAACAGAACATAGGATGCAGAAACAACTCCAGGCATACTCAGCTAACTTATCTTTGACAAGGGAACCAAATATGGCGCTATACTTTCACTAGAAGAAAGGTAGTCTCTTTAACAACTGATACTGAGAAAACTGGCTATCCACATGCCAAAGATTGAACCTAGACCCATATCTCTCACTGTACACTCAACTAAAATAAAAATGGATCAAAGATATAAATATTAAAACAGAAACATCTAATTTGCTGGAAGACAAATGTGGTGGTTAATTGATTAATTGTCAACTCAAGGAGGGAACACCCAGCTGAATTGAGTCAGCATGGTTCTGGGCACTCTTCTACATTTGACTCTGTGGGTGGCCATTGTAGACCAATCTTGTAAATTTCTGTGTCCTGCATTAAATCTGATTCAGAGCATGTACAGTCTTTTGAGGAGCCTTGCCCCAGCCCTGAAAGCTCTTGTAAGTATTGACTAATGCAACAAAATATGTAAAACTCTTGAAAACATAGACATAGGCAAGGATTTTCTGGACAGAACCCCAGCTGCATAAGAAATAATATCAACAATCAACAAATGGGATCACATCAAATTAAAAACTGCATAACAAAAGAAACCACCAACAGAATGAAGAGACAACCTACAGAATGGGGGAAAATTTGCTAGCTATGCCTCAAACAAAGGACTAATATCTAGAATATATAAAGAACTCAAAAAAATTAGGCTCCCCCAAATTTAAAGACCCAATCAAAAAGTCGGCATCTGAAATGAATAGAGACTTCTCAGACAAAGATGTATAAATGGCCGATAAGTACATAAAAATATTCAACATCTTTAACCATACAAGAAATGCAAATTAGAACAACATGGAGATTCCATCTCACTCCAGAAAGAATGGCTATCATCAAGAAATCAAATAATAACATGCTGTAGAGGCTGTGGGGGAAAGGAACACTTTATTGAAAGTGGGAGTATAACCTGGTATAAGCATTATGAAAATCAGTATGGAGATTCCTCAAAAAAACAAACAAACTAGAAATTCCATTCAACCCAGCTATTCCCCTTCTAGGCATCTTCTCAAAAAAGTTAAAGACATCATATTACAGTAGTACATGCATACTCATGTTTATAGCAGCATAATTTACAATAGGTAAATCTTGGAAGCAGCCTATATGTCCATCAACAGATAAGTGGATAAAGAAAATGTGGTATTTATACACAATGGAATACTACTGTGCCATAAAGAAGGATAAACTTTACTCATTTGTAGGAAAATGGGTGCACCTTGTCTTAGTTACTTTTCTTGTTGCTGAGACAAAATACCCAACACCAAAATTTAAAGGAGGAAATGTTTATTTCAGCTCACAGCTTGTAGAGGTTTCAGTTTATAGAGGTGTCATGTCACCCTGGCTCCAAGGCAGGGTGGCATGACAAATGGGCATTGCAGAGGAGAAACAGTTCATGGCATGGCAGGTAGGAAGCCACGAACAGCAAGAAGCAAGAGCAGCAGCAAAAGCAAAAGTAGCAAGCCTTCTTTCTGTCCCTTATATTCCATCTAGGGTTCTAGATACAAGCCATAACACCTTGAGACCATAATGCTAATGTTAAGTGAATATAGTCTAGATATTAGTCCTTTGTTTAGGTTTCTCCTCCCTCCTATCTCTTGTATCATTATCATCATGCATTTTACATATACTGGCACATACCTATATAGTTGCATATATATATTTGGATATATATAGTTGCATATATATATTTGCTGCTATTTTGAAAAAAAACTTTTGGTTTTTTTTTTATTTTAGTTAAGAATATCAGGGCTGAGGATTTAGCTCAGTGGCACAGGGCCTGCCTGGCAAGCATGAGGTCCTGAGTTCAATTTCCAGTACAAAAAAAAATGAATAACAGAAAAGTTTATATTTTACCTTCACTTATTCCTCCTCTGACGCTCTACTTTTCTTCATGGAGGTCTGAGTTTCTGACTTGTATAAGTTTCCTGCTCCTGAAATAATTTTTCCTTTCTTTTCCTTTCTTTTTTTCTTTTTTCTTTTTTCCTGTACTGGGGATAGAATCCACAAATTCACATACTCTAGCCAAGTGCTCTACCACTGAGCTACGTCCCCAGCACCCAAAAAATTTCTTTTAATATTTCTTGTGAGGCAGGTCTACTGGCAACAAATTTCCTCTAATTTTGTCTGAGAAAATACTTCACTTAAAAAAAAAAGAAAACACAACAGAGATCTGTTCTTTCCTGGTTCACAAATGTCTGGAATCAGAATTCAAGAAATTGGAGGACTCCAGTCCCTGTAGAGGCGTTGGGTAGAATCCTTCCTTACTTTTTCAGCTTCTGGTGACTCCATGTGCTCCTTTCTCCTTTACTTTGAAGGATAATTTTGCAGGGGCTGGAATTCTAGGTGGGTCTTTTTTTGAGATAGAGACCACCGTGGGGACAAAGGACAGGTGCACTCCTGGGCCTTAATTCTGGCCTGTTTCCTATTAAAAATGTGCCATAAACTTCCCTAGCCCCCCACTTTCCCCCAAAATCTTCTCAACCCCAAACTCAGATGCAGCATTAAAGTCAGGATGCCTTTACCATAGTGTCTCCAAGAATAAGCTGTAGGGGTCGCCACAGAGGGACAGAGGACAAACAAACTCCTGGGCCCTTAACCTGTTACTCATTAAAAAAATGTGATTTGTGTTTCCTTCTGAGGCAGTCAGGGACTTAAAGCTGCTTCTACTAACCCAGCAAATCTTTACCTGAGCCTTCAGATGCCCAACTGGTTACTAAAACAGGATCGATTGGCATCTCTGCCTTCATCTTACACCTGTCTCCTTTATTATCTCATGACATTGGGTCGGATCTCTGCTCAGCTTTGCATGTAGGCAGGTTAATCATTTGGAGAGTGTTTTTCAAAGGAGTACTACAAGGTTTCTTAGGCCTAAGTTTACCTAACACGACTGATCTTTCTTCAAGTTGGAGGACACCAAGATAGGAGGTTTACAGGGACATTCAAGGATTAGCTTTTAATCCCCTGGAGTGGGCACCTAGAAGTCTCTAGTCATTGTCCTAAATCTACAGTCACCTTGGATTCCAGCAAAGCCTTCCCAGAACAGACTGCCCCACAAGCAGGAGCAGTCATTTCATGGGGACTGAATTGATCCTCAAGCCATAGGGATTTCTCTAAAGCCATGAAACCAGAACTGAGATAATGACCGCACAGATCCTAGACCCCCCCCTCAAGCACTGCATAAAACAGGCCCCCTTTCTTTGTTATTGGCCAGTTGGATCTTTGTCAGAGCTGTGCCCTTTTAGGACTTTGGACTGAAATCCTTTCCTATTTTCTCTTACTTTTTTTTTGGTACTGGGGATTGAACTTGGGACCTTGTGCTTACAAGGCTGGCACCAGAACCACTGAGCTAAATCCCCTGCCTCTCTCTTACTTTTAATTAGAACTTTTGCCTGCAAATTTGTGGTAGAGCTTGAGCATTTCCCCCAGTACTGAGGATCCAACCCAGGGTCTCTGAACTGACATACATCCTCAGCCCTTTTATTTTGGAGACAGAGACTCATTAAATCACTAAGTTGGCCAAGCTGAACTTGAACTTGTGATCCTCCTGCTTTAGTCTCCCAGAGTGCTGGGATTGCAGGTGTGTGCCCCACTTGTTCGATGATTTTTAATTTCCATCGTCACTGAAGCAAGAACCCACACTATCGGGTAACATTTTTTTCTCAACACTTTAAGTATTTCATTCTACCTTTATTGCTTGCATGGTTTCTGAGAAGTCAGATGCAATTTTTATATTTATTCTTCATAGATTAGATTTTTTTCCTCTGACTTCCTTCAAGATTTTTTCCTTTATTTTTGATTTCCCATAGCCTGAATATACTGCCCTGGTGCAGGTTTTTAATTCTTTAAAATATTGGCATTTATCCTGCTGATCTGTGGTTTGGTGTAAGACATTATCCTGGAGGAAATTCTCAGTCACAACTGCTCAAATATTGCTATGGTTCCTTTCTTCTTCTGGGATTCTCATTTGTTCTTAGATATTCTGTTCTGATATTTTTTTCTTCATTTTTTTTTCCTCATTACTTTTAAGTCTGGGAGACTTCTATCATAAATCCAAGAAATAATAAACAAGATTAGAATAAAGCAAAGACCATCTTATATGGTGCACAATAGATTTGCAAGCCAGGTGTGGTGGTGCATGCCTATAGTCCCAGCAGTCTAAGAGGCTGAGTCAGGAGGATAGTAAGTTTGAGCCCCGCCTGGGCAACTTAATGACTTAGTGAGAACCTGTCTCAAAATTTAAAAAAATGATGGAAACAGCCCAAGTGCCCATCAACTGGAAACTGGATAAAGAAGATGTGGTTTTTTAATAAAATGGAGTACTACTCAGCCATAAAGAA